GACCAGGGAGACAGGAGGCTCCGGCTGTGCCGCCGCTGCTGGGAAGGCAGAAGGCACTGGGATGAGCTGGGATGGGAGGGATCCCCTGGCCTGGCGCCACACTGACTCCCGTCAGCAGCGCAGGGCAAGCGCCAGCGTGCCTGGGAAGGGCACTCCGCGGTGGTTCACTGCAAAGCAGCCAAGTCCAGATAAGCCAGTTCGAGTGTGCCTGAAAGCCATGATGCAATTAACCCCATTACGTAAAAGAAAGAAGCTATCTATTCCACGCATAAAATGTACGTGTCCATCATTGCTATTTTAGCCCTTTGGCCAATTTTTTGCCAAACTGCGGAAGGAGAGAAGAGCTGACAGACACTCTGCCGCTCGAACTTTTGCGAAAAGAGGCAGCCAGAGGAGAGGAATCCTGGGCTACGCCCACCCAAAGGGAGGCTTAGTTGTGTACGCTCAACCTACTTCAGACACCAGAGAATCTCCTTGAAGGAGACACACGTTATGGCCGTCCCAGTCAAAGGTTGTCCTCTGTCAGATACTAGAAAAATCCACTTCACCATCCAGGGGTCTTCCTGCTTGGGTTTTCTGATGTCCGATAGAGGCGTTGAGTTTCTCCACAGTCCGGTGCTGAGTCAGCCGCGCACGTGATGCTCGCCCCTGGGCGACCAGACCTTCCTCCTTCTGCTCTCCACGGAATAGCTTCTGTAGGAAAGGGGAAGCATCCAGCAGCGCTCGTTTATGCAACATCACAAGGGCAGCAGGTGCTAAAAATGAACAGCTTTATTCTGCGATAGCATCCCATTCCTTCGGTGTTAAGTCTATTACAACACTGCCTGCCTATAATCCTTATATTAAAAACAAGCAAATGAATTGACTTTCTTGTAATCCTAAGGAATCTCTGTGGCTTTCAGGGAGTGAGAAAGGCTGGACTCATCCCAGACAACCTCCATGGATCTCCCCTGGGGGATCTGGCCCAAAATATCCCCGATTCTTGCCACCCTTCTGCTGCAGCTGTTAGCCTGACAAGCAGCACCCCGTGCCAGTGACGGGACACACACACCAGCACTGCACACCAAACGGCTCGAGCTGTGTGGGAGAAACTCCACTTTGCGGGAAGTCCCAGGCTGAAACAACCACCTCGGCATTTAGGTTTTTTTCCCCCTCATTTCTCTGATTCCACAATACCAAAGCCATTAATAAAAGCATTTCCCTATCATAAATCAGGAGGGGGAGGAAAATATGAGTAGCTTCTTCCTGTAGGAACAGGCAGGACTTGTACACGATCTGTGGCAGACCACACCAATTTCTAAACAGGTTTTCCTGAGTATTTCCACTTGGCAAAGGGATTGTAAGGCTGTCAGTGGAAGGGGACACCTCCAGCACTACAGGCTGGACAGCCAAGACAGTAAAATTTCTTTTTTTTTTTCAATTGTGTTCCCTCCCTTTTTGTGCAATTCCTGCCAGAGCGGTCCTGTGATTGACATGCCAGTGCCTGCCAGCTTCAACGATATCACCCAAGACCCCACCCTGGAGAACTACATCGGCTGGGTTTGGTATGAGAAGGAGGTGCTGCTTCCTCTCCGCTGGCTCCAGGATGACCTCAACACCAGAGTGGTGCTCCGTTTTGGCAGTGCCCATTACTACTCCATTGTGGTACGTTGCACAGGAAATTGCCCATGTGTTTCCAGAGCTATGCGTCTCTCAGTGACACTTGCTTGTACGTGACCCAGACCTAGCTCCTGGCAAAGAAAGGGCTGCTAGATCAATCCCTCAAAGAGCAAAAGCCCAGAACAAGGCTCAGTGTTAGTGGGAACCTCGACTGCCCTTTGCTGCGCTCCTTACCTTCTCCCTGCTGTGCTTGCCACAAAACCTCAACAACCCTGTCTCTTGGGCTCATGGGTGTCTTCTCCTGCAGTGGGTCAACGGAGTGCAAGTTGTGGAGCACGAAGGGGGCCACCTCCCTTTTGAAGCAGATATAAGCAGCATCGTCCAGGGCAGCCCAGGGATCCCCTGCCGCATCACTGTTGCGCTCAACAACACTCTGACACCCTATACTCTGCCTCCGGGGTCCATTCAGTACATGAATGACAAAACAAGGTGAGTTGCTGAAGTGCTGTGCTGCTGAGTTTATCCCAGGGATGAGAGAAAGGGAATTTATTCGGCTGCTGGTTCATAAGACCCTCCGAGCAGCTTACAGAAGTATTTATGCCAAAATTCACCAGTCGAGCAGGAAGGAGTTTAAGCTTTGGTGTTATGAGGAATCTGCACTGAGTTATTTTATCTGTTTTACACACAGGGAACTGAGATTAAGTGATTTGCCAAGCTGAATCAATGGCAGATTTGAGAAGCTCGAGTTCAGCTGGAAACTGCAAGGACCAGCTATCCTGAAGGATCAAACTATTCAGTGCGTTAGACTTTTGTTAACTGGTGGTTCCCGTCAGTGTAGTAGCAGTAGCACTACTGAGAGAGCAAGCCATCCTGCTGTAAAGATGATTTTAGCAGCTAACATCTGGTTTTACATGATTATTTTACATTGCTAGCATCCGCACACTGCCTTCACTTCTTGTATAATGAAATATAATGTAGCCATTTCTCCTGTCTTGCTCACTCAGGTATCCCAAGAACTATTTTGTACAGAACACCAGGTTTGATTTCTTTAATTATGCTGGAATCCATCGCCCGGTTGTGCTTTACACCACTCCTTCTGTCTACATAGATGATATTACTGTGACAACTGCTTCATCAGAGAGCGTTGGTAGGTCCGGAACGATTACAGCAGCTACCTCAGGCTCCAGATGGAGATGACAAGGGCAGCAGAGAAAATATGCTGCAAAAGTCGGGTTGAATTTGTTTCGTAGTGGCTTTCTGTTGAACCCGAGCTGATTGCAGCTCACCAGCTGCAAGAATATGGTAAAGAGTTCAGAAGTAGTAAGAAAAAATGAAGTGCTTGCAAGAGACTGCTGTTACAGTGGAAGGATGATCAGGTGTTTCTTGAAGTATAATTTCTCAGCAGGGGCAGTCTTCCTGACACTTAAAGCAGGATTATCTCCGAGTAACAAAATTGTGCAATACACAAATCTTGCTGGAAACTTCTGGACCTCAAGACAGACAGGTCATGCTTCTTACATTCAGTATACTCCGTTGTTGTTCTGTGTCTCCCTCATTTTTTAATGGTGCTCTATGTGAAAGCCCTCCAACACTTGGTGCGTGCATTTTTCCTTTCATGGCAGTCTCTGATTGTCTTTTGTTTCCTTTGAACCAGCAATGGTGCATTATCAGGTGTCGGTTGTTGGCAGCACACGCTATTCCTTGTCCCTGAGTTTACGTGACCAAGAGGGGAAAGTGGTTGCTACAGGCGATGGGCCGGTTGGAGATCTGAAAGTCCTGAACCCACATCTTTGGTGGCCTTACCTGATGCACGAGAACCCTGGGTACCGCTACTCCTTAGAGGTAACAGTGACATCTCTTCTTTTCTGTGCGTGTTCCTTGTGACTGTCTAACAGGGTTAAGGAACTGCCATATGGCCCATCTTCCATGCTCATCTTCTCCCACAGATCCTGTTCATGTGGCCAGAGTGGCATTGCTAATTATGCAGTAATCAAATCAAGCTTTGCCAGCTTCCTGGATGCTAAGCTGAAAGGTCTGTGGGTGAGAAGAGGGGGGCATGCCTGGCGTGCACTCTCAGATGCTTGCCCTTCACATTTAGGGCCCAATCCATCCCTTACAAAAGGACTCTTTGAGACAGTTCAGAGGAGGAGATATTGCAACAGCGGAGCGTCTCTGAGGAGCAGGCTGCTAACCTCTTCCACGTGTTTTGCCATGCAATGAGCTTTGTTCCCACTCTGCAGGGCAAGAGTTCAGTTTTGATAGCATGAACCTGAAGACTCTGTGTGAGTTAAGGATGAGTAGTGACATTTAGATGTAGAAATTAGGGCAGATGAGCTGCTGTGAGTTTCCAGGGGCTCAGGTTCATATCTCCTGTGAGCAGATGACATTTCAGTTGTTGCCGGGTATCAAGGTGCAGAGCAGAAAAGGTGTACCGCTGCCTTGCCTGGGGGATGAAATGGCCCAGATGAGTCCAGGAAAACAAAACTGAAGCTCCTGGGGTGAACAAGCCCCAGAAGGGTCATCCAGGCTTCATTCTTCATCCTTCAGCTTCCCCAGCTTGGATTTCTATTTTCTGCTTAGTCAGACCTTGCTCCTTCCCTCGGGAAGCGCATGGGGACCACAGGAGCCAGCTGAAGCAGTGGTGAGGAGCAGGCAGCATGCCGAGACAGGGCTGGGAAATGGAGGGGCCGGCAGGACAGCCCTTACGGACGAGGGGGAGGGAGGCCGGGGCATCCTTGTGAAGCCCAGCACGTCACTTGCGTCTCCCCTTTTCTGCTTAGTCAGACCTTGCTCCTTCCCTCGGGAAGCGCATGGGGACCACAGGAGCCAGCTGAAGCAGTGGTGAGGAGCAGGCAGCATGCCGAGACAGGGCTGGGAAATGGAGGGGCCGGCAGGACAGCCCTTACGGACGAGGGGGAGGGAGGCCGGGGCATCCTTGTGAAGCCCAGCACGTCACTTGCGTCTCCCCTTTGGAAATCCAGGTGAAAATGCAGGCGCAGGCGAACGGGGCGTTGCTGGAGGACACGTACACGCTCCCGGTCGGCATCCGCACCGTCCACGTCACCAGCACGCAGTTCCTCATCAACGGCAGGCCCTTCTACTTCCCCCGGCCCCACCAACACGAAA